TCCATCCCTTTTGTCTTTCCTCCTTAAAAACTGTGGCAGAAACACTAAGAACTGGGAAGCCCTGGCCCTTGAGCGCTATAACTGGAGGTCAGCTGTGACCAGCATTGCTGCAGAATTCAAAGAGGAACGAATGGAGGGCGAAAGGGAGAAACGAGAGCGTCTGGTCTTGCAAAGCCCTCTTATAGTGCCAAAGCTTATTAAATATGGTATTTTGTGGGCAAGCAGATGGCGACTACTGGGTGGCATATGTCCTGTAGCAGAAACTAGAGCTGATGTGGTCTACCCAATGCAGTTTTCTGAATCAGCACCCCAAATAACCAAACCTAATCTAAAGTTGACCAAAAACTGATTCATAACTCTTTTGGTACTAATGTTGGAGACTGGTCCCTGTGGATGACCAGATGGCGACTACGGGATGGTATATGTACTGTATCAGAAAATAGAGCTGATGTGGTCTATCAGACAATTTTCCGAACCAGCACCCCAAATAACCCAACCTAATCTTACACTGACCAAAAACTGATTCGTAACCTTTTTGATACTAATGTTGGGAGACTGGTCCATATGGATGAGCAGATGGCGACTACAGGATGGCATATGTCCTGTATCAGAAACTTGAGCTGATGTGGTCTATCAAAGGCAATTTTTCGAACTAGCACCCCAAATAACCCAACCCAATTTTACATTGACCAAAAACTGATTTGTAACCCTTTTGGTACTAATGTTGGAGACTGACCCCTGTGGATGAGTAGATGGCGACTACGGGATGGATATGTTCTGTATCAGAAACTAGAGCAGATGTGGTCTATCAAAGGCAATTTTTCGAACCAGCACCCCAAATAACCCAACCCAATCTTACATTGACCAAAAACCGATTCGTAACCTTTTTGGTACAAATGTTGGAAAGTCCACAATGTTGGAACTGGATTATACATGTGTGTAGACTCAGGGACCTTCATCACAGGCATCTAACCCTGGAAATCAAGGCAGATTGTCCCCAATGCCTGCTTTGAACTGGATTATATGTCTGTGTAGACTCGGGGACCTTCAACACAAAATATCAAGGCAGATTGTCCACAACGGCTCGGAAATTCCAATTGGTCCAACGGGCAGCAGCCAGGATGTTAACTGGGGCCCATTACAGGGAGAGGTCAACCCTCCTGTTTAAGGAGCTCCACTGGCTGCCGTTTATTTTCCGAGCCCAATTTAAGGTGCAGGTGCTTACCTACAAAGCCCTGAACGGTTTGGGACCACCCTACCTGCAAGACCGCATTGCTGTCTACGAACCCACACGCTCACTACGGTCATCTGGAGAGGCCCTGCTCGTGATCCCACCCACGTCACAAGCGCGCTTGGTGGGGACGCGAGACAGGGCCTTCTCCGTGGTGGCCCCCCGCCTCTGGAACACCCTCCCGAAAGATCTCAGACAGGCCCCTACACTGGCAGTCTTCAGAAAGAATTTGAAAACCTGCCTGTTCCAATGTGCCTTTTCAGATTAGGAATCTCCCACTACCAAATCCCAGAAGCACTTTAGTACCAAATCACCGCACACTGCACACCGCACTTATATCATAATCCCACACCCCTCCGATACATCAGCACTTTTAACCTTGTACCCCTACTCCAGCCAACTCAGTTTTTAATAATGTCTTGTCGTATTGCTATTGTTATTGTTTTTCTGCTTAACTGTTTTTATTTGCTAGATATTGTATTGTTGTATTCTGTTGGGCTTCGGCCTATTGTGAGCCGCATCGAATCCTTCGGGAGATGCTAGCGGGGTACAAGTAAAGTTATAATAATATTAATAATAATAATAATAATGCCTGCTTTGAACTGGGTTATACATGTGTGTAGACTCAGGGACCTTCATCACAGGCATCTAACCCAGAATATCAAGGCAGGTTGCCCACAAGGCCTGCTTTGAACTGGATTATATGTCTGTGTAGACTCAGGGGCCTTCATCACAAGCATCTAACCCTGGAAATCAAGGCAGATTGTCCACAATGCCTGG